ACTTATTTACGAAATAATACGAATATTCAATGTTTAAAATCATTAAAAATGATTAATTTGAAATAAGGATTAATACATTGAATAAATGAGATGTGTCATTCAAAGAAATTTCATTTAATGATAAAATAAAATCGAAATTTCTTTCGATAACAATATTTTAAAATAATATTATTATTCATACATCGACATTGTAATGTAAAAATCATTAAATTCCATTAACGATGTTAATTGAACGAAACGTGAAGAATTATACATGCAATATACATCTCTCTATTCGTTGAAATTTATCAATGGAACTTGTTTTTCAATCAGGATTAAAAATCATGTTTTCAAACAAACAAGATTAGGGTTGTCGAGCCAGAAAGTCTTCGGTATTGGATGGTAAGTTAAAGTTGAACTGTTCGACCTAGTTGGCTGCACGCCTATAAAACAAATCCTTATCGTGCCAGCACATTATAGTAATACTTATCTACTTACATTATTAAGTAGTATACATACATTAGATTGTCAACATATACAGGTGGTTTCATAATTGGACGAAGTTTTTTAACTCTTTCAAAATTAAGAGAATTATAAATAACAAACTAATTCTTTACAAAAATTATTGTACAAAAATTATTGCAATTTATTGTCATTAAGTATTCCACTTTATATAATATTTAATAGTGAGATTAGTATAAATATCGATTGGATTTTGTATATGTCAAAAGAATGAATTCAAGAATGTTGTTCATATATATATTGATATTATACTCACATTTGCACATGGTTTGAAATTTGACCATGAAATTTAATTGAAAATTGATTGAATTATATTTTCGATATATATGGATAGACTCATTAATAATAACTAATTAATATTTGCAACAGATAGCTAAATAGTTAGATTTGGTTTTACGAGTTGGATTTACAAAGTCTATGATTTATATCTGATTCATTTGTCCAATAATTTTCGTACTCTGTGATACATCCAAAATATAGATGTAGATGAATATTGATTATATTTAATTTAGATTAGTTTTTGGTTAGAGTTTGGATTATATCTAAGTTTACTTCGAATATATTGCATATTCGACCTTTTGTTTGATTTAGCATATCTGAGTTTATTTTAAGTTAGATTAGTGGTTTGAAAAAGTCCTGTTTTGATATACGAGACTGCAGATTTTTCGTATTTTATTTTTTCAAGATTATTGGGGTCATTGGGAATCAGCGCACATATATACATACACATGTAGATCCGACAGACACCAGTTCATGGTGCATACCGGTTCATTATAGCGGTATTTCATCTTTTTTATGATTATTGGAATTAACAGCATTATATAAATGATATTAAAAAAAAATCTTGTTTACATTTGTGAAGAGATTATTATTTCCTTATTGAACGTTAATGTTTGTTTAAAAACAAATTCTGAAAAAAATCTGATTTTTTTAAATGGGAAGGGGGGATTAAATATATCAAATTTAAATGATTTTTGTTCTATTCTAATTAAATAATTATCGATGTAAGAAATAGATATGAATAAAAAAAATTAACAATATTTATCGTTTCAATATTAAATATATTCGAATTATTAGCTAATAATTTTATTTTCATAATAATACTTTTGTATAATTTTAATTTTTGTTCTTAAATAATCGTTGAAATGGATAAAGAATTATTTTCACTATTATAATGCAAAAAGAAGCTATTGTTCGTGTATTTATTTAATTGTGTAATAGCGAAAAAAGAAGCTTTAAGTCAAGGATACATTATTTTTAAAAAAAGGGGAGATATTAGCGTACGTGTCTAGCTTATCTTCGAGAAATACGATATTTTAAAACGAGATAGTGTTAAAAAAAAAATTAAGAAGGCCAAGGGCAAAAATATGTACATAATGTGTGAAATTATTCAAACACATTATACCAAAATGTAGATCTAATTTCGAAAAATCAATAAAATTCTATTTATCTTATATTTTTATATTTCCCATTCTTAAACCATTAGTATAATTAAAGACATTGAAACACAAGCAATCCTAGATCACTATAATAAATTTTACCATGCCCTGAATAGGATGTTACGCTCAATTCAGTAAGCGAGCCATTCATTCTTGATCACGCTACGAGCCACGAGATTTCATCTGCTCCATTATTATCAATTACATAAATCGATTCTTCGAAATATGTTTTTGCACGCGCCACATATAGATAACAAGAGTTATCAACATCGACTCGTCGATGAAGAACGATGCAAATGAAATAAAGTTGCATGACAAGAAATTAAACTTCAATAATTAAAAATATGTTAAAAAGGTATTAATAACAAAATATTATATTAATTTAAATTTAAATTTTTGAAGAGAAATATTCATTCTTTATGATGTCTATTCATTGAAAAAAAAGGTTTGTATATATGTTTCAATATATTCTTGTATAAAGGTTTCAATATATTCTATTAGAAAAATTTTTCAATAGATTGAATTAAAATTTGTGTGTGATATAATGTATATTATATATATATTATAATGTAAATTGTAAAATATTCGAAAAATTAATATAATTGGATTTACTTCATTGATTTATTATTTTTTTTTTCAGGTTGTCAAGGTAAACTTCACTTTTCAAAGAATTCCACAGGAAAAATTCTAATCCATTAAATGTGAAATCACATGATGTTGGTAATCTCCTTCAACGTGCGTCATGTGATCATATGATACATCTTATAAATTTATGTCAATCCAAAAACGATTGACAAGCTAATAAAAAAATAATTGCAGACCCTATTAATGAAATAATTCCTATTATCTTTGCTATTGTGGCGAACATGTAATGAAAAATTAGATAAAACGAGTAGGAGCTTGAAGAGGTTATTTGAATGATAATTTATTCTCTTTCATTGATTAATGTTTAAGCGGATTTTATATTAAAACAAAGAAATCTGAAATATTTCGAATAGTTCGTGTTTTCGAGTTTGAAAAAATATGTCACTTAATTTGAATATCCCTATATACGTTAAACCGAAGTTGTCAAAGTTAATAATTTATAACAGAATAAGAGATAAATTTCAGAATCGTACTGGTAAAACTTCATGATAATTTGGTCACGTACACAATACTTGCACAACAGTCATTTCAATTATATTCTCTGATGAGGTCACAAAAATATTTAAATTCTTAGATACAAACAATATTCGCAATTAATTTTCTATATTGATCTTCAATATTAATCTTGAAATAATAAAACCAATCATTAGCCACTTAATTAAGTAATTAACAGGATGAATTTATCGATCGAACAAATTTAATTCGTATCTATTTAAGAATACTAATAATACAATCTTTCTTTATATCTTGAGTGTAATTAATTAAAAAGAAACTGTAGAGACTTATAATAATTTATTTACAGAATACGTCGCAAATGAAAGTTCTTATATAAGATACTTACATATTGATTAAAAAATATATTGTAAAACATAATATATTTTGATGCAGATAACAAAATGTTTATTTTTTTTTAACTCAATTTTAATTGATGTATTATTAAATCATTCAGTATAAATATAATTCGTTAAATAAAGTAGAAATTTATTAAATAGAATATTTATTGAAACAATATATCAAACAATGTATCATTATTTTTTATTTAACAAGATTTTTTAGAATAATAAAAGATAAGAAGTTGTGCATCTCCTTGAATCTTTCTCAAATTCCATGAAATATAAATAATATATTTCCATAAATTATATTATCATAAATTATGATACATTTGAACAGTGATTCATAAATATCAATTTTTACGTCAACAAAGGAATGAAACAGTTTCATTCTAAAAATTAAAGATGATTTGTGCAGGTATGAATGATTAATGAATGATTAATAATCTTATGAATGATTAATAAATTTTAAGAGAAATATATATAAGAATGTTTATTTAATTTAAGATCCATTTATTTCTATTATTTAATTGATATTTTAATAATGTAATTGATGACAGAAAGATATACAATGTAAGTTTCATTATAACATAAAATAAAATTTATTCTATGATTACAATCATTAGTTATAAGCTATATACTCTATTTCAAAGTATAGACCACTTCATTTTATAAATATATATAAATGGATATTTTCTTCATCCTCAGTGTTGTTATAAATCTTCTATTCAAGTTTTATTAAAATTGAAAATAAAATTGTGAAGTGAAGAATTCATTACATCAAAATGCATTGTTACAAAAAATTGTTTCATACGTGTATTTTTATAGCTGAGAAGGGATAAAAAGAGAAATCGAAAGGGAAATTAAAAGATTAATTTTACATATTGAACAGTTATCATGTTTTGTTCATAATTTATGTTTGATTGAGAGCAAAGGTTAAGAATGATATCAAAAAATGATTGAAATGTGTTTACTTTATTAATTACAAGTAAGTAATTGTTAAGGACTTAACTTTCCTTGAAGAATTATTTGTCTTAATTTTATTTTTTCAGAAAATTTTTTTCATTGTATGAGTATGTGGTTATAATTAAGATAAAAAAATTATAAACATGAAAATAGGGATTGATCAATGAAAAATGTTCCATTCATTTTTCGTTATAATCAATTTTATTTATTTTTATAAAATAATTACGAAACTTCTGCATAATTTAATTTAATTTAACTTGTATGTAAATCATTTTTATTTTTTTATTCGAATCAAATGAAATATACCGATAGAAAAGTTAGTAGTTTAATTTCATTTAAAATTGTTCAAAATTGTGAAACAAGATTCTCGCGCCATCTATATATGCGATGGATTATTATTTGCCCGATGCCATTTATTTTACATTTCCTTTTATAATAGTTTGAAATGGCGTCATGAATGGTCTGATATTTTTACAATTACTTAGAATCTTACAATTGAATTTCCAAATCGTAATTTAATGGCAAATAATGTGCCGTATATTTTTTATTATATTTTACTAACGAATAAATATCTGTATTTCAGGTCCTGGAGACTTTTATCATCTTGAATATTACAATTATAATACCATAATTCATCGCCTGATGAATGAGTTTCCTGTCAGTTTACCAGAATAGCAGTTAGTTTCATCAGGCGGCCAAAGCATCGACAGTAGTAAAGTCACGCATTTACGTTGCAATTAGATAAGGTAAGATTCTTTGAGTTTTTGTTTATCAATTTTTTTATAACTTTATATTTCATCAAATTATTAATTAATTACTGTGATTAAATATTACGTATTTCAATCGCAATTGTTAATCATTAATTGCAAAAATATTGTCCAATATTAATTCAAAAATCTTTACAGGATTTCTTGTAACGAATGCGATGTCTTGAATGCGATGATTCTGATGCGGTGAAAAAGTAAGTCCAAAATATATAATAAAATTTTTTCATTTGAGACGTTTGTTTTCGAGTAAAACAACTTTAAGAAATTTTTAACTAAACTAGTTTTCGATTAGATACGAATGAAGTAAATAACTACATATTTTACTTATATTCACATTCTGCATGTGAAAATAAGTAAAAAAAAATTTTATCGCTCAAGTTACTATTATTATTATTATAGCTACTGTAATTTCTAATTTCTTAAATCTCTACAAAAAAATAAATTTAAAATAATTTTCTTTTTATTTTATCACAAGATAATTAATAAAACTTTAAAAAAGAAAGGAGATAAAAAAAATATTATTGGTAAAAAAAAAGTATTTTTATATAATACAATATTTAAATTGATTTATTTTGAGTCATGATACCCAATACCGATAAATACTACAATAATTGTTATAATTTTTCAATTTTATATTTTTTTCTATTCTTTCCTATATTTTTTTTTATCAAAATAGAAAATGTTTAAATAAAAAATTGAAAATAGAAAATTTTGTTCAAATATTTTATAAATATATTAATTTTTAATTTTATTTTTAGCCAATCACTCAATAATATTTGATAACTGTATAATAATATTTATAGATAAACTGTCCAAATCTATATTTTGGATATTTTTTTTTGTAATAATTATTTGTATCACATAATATTTATATTATATAATAAGCATATATAATAATAATAATACAAATTTATAAAAATATATAAATTATAATTGATATTAAAAATCTTTTAATGTTTCACATGTTTGTTACATTTCAATTTTTTTTATTGAAAATCAAATAATTAAATTGGAGATGTATATCGGCCGTGGTTTCGTGTTTATTTCGGTTTTTTCCATCTTCTTTGTAAATAATCTTTATTGAAAGAGGATTAGGGGTGTGTACATATAATATACATCCATATCAGTGAAGGAACAGTGCAAATTTTGTCATTGTCAAACGGAGAAATGGAATTTTCCATAATGTATTTTGTTCACTATTTAGTTTACAAATTTAAGGAAGTAGCCACAAAAACGGACACATAACAGATAATTAATAGTTCATGTAAATGTATATAGAAATTTTGCATATTCTATTTTATTTTATCAAATTTAATGATTTCACTGACAAATATTTTGTTAAAAATATATATTTTAAAACACATGAAATACATTTTGTTAAAAATTTAAGAACAATCTTGAAGAGCAGTTCGTGTGAATCACTTGATAATGTTTCCACAGATGAATCAGTTTTATTTTCTAGAAGAAACGTGAATCACATCTTTGATAAAATTTGAGGTAATAAATAAGTAAGTAAAACATCATGAATAACATCAAACTAAACAGTCATACAGTTACACATTTTCGATATTCTAAAATTCATTATTATGTATGATAAATTGCTTCAATATTAAAATATTAATAAGAATATTATCAATTATCTTTATGTGAAATAATTAATAGAAGAAAAACAGATAAAAAGTTTCACTTCGAATTTCTTTTTCTTCACAATTAATTTCGTACATATTCAAAGAAATAAATATAATTCAAAAAAGGAAAAAAAGAAAAAAAAAAAAAAGAAAGAAACGATATCCAAAATCACAATTAATACTGCATTTTTGTGAAATTCAATATTAATTCGCAAATTGCAAGATGTGATTACTGATGCCTTACTTGATTTTTCGAAAGAGATTTTCGTGCAAAATCTCTTAGGCATGGACCATCGGACAAATTGACGATCGAGCGTGTTGTGTGCGGGTGGAGATGACTTTTTTGTCTATCACCGGTATGATTCGTTTCGATAACCAGTTTCGCCCCACCAAGGTCTGGATTTACATACGTGTCGCAGGAGGCTTTTACGTTCGCTTGATTTTAACACGAATTGTAGTTTCGCGGCAGGCATGAACGGTGCGTGCAGCTGAAACTACGATCCGCTTCTTGTTTTAT